ATTCATAAAATGCTAACATATAATGAATACATTCTGATGCCAAATAATACTGGGGTTAAAATGCATCTTAATATACGTCTAAGATAAATATAGCTGTGTGGGAAATGTAAAATAAAAAGTAGCTACTTCTGTTAATTAAAAATCTACATTACAATGGAGGATGGTGGTATCAGAAAATATACATTTTTACTGAGGAACTTCATGTGTTTCCTCTGTTTCTGGAGGGAATTTTATAATAGTTTTGCACCACCTAGTTAACAAGTGACCTCTGCTGAGCAGCAAGCTGGCACCTCTTCAAGCTGCTATTGACGTTTCCTCTGGTTGGACTTTATCAGTTTATCTTCCCAACATATGCTTTCAGCGTGAACCTTTGTGTCTAGCTCCAAGGGGTTGGCAACTAGCCTCAGCTGGAGCTAATTCTGTTGCCACTTTATGGTGCTCAATAAAGCAGTCAGTTGGAGAGACTGTGGGAAGGAACTCTCTGAAATCAGATCAAAGATCTACCTGTTTCTATCCCATCCAGAGACTTCTCCCTCTATCATCCCTTAGGATTGAAGGTCTATGGATAAGGTCCCTCTAATCCAGAGGTGTCAAACTGCTGGCCTGCAGGCCAATTGTATCATATGGAAACCATGCCCACCCCAGATCCAGCAATGCAAAAAATGTTGTGATACGTCGCGACACGTTCACATGATGTGGCGAGTTTGACACCTACAATATGCTCTAATCCAGTGGTTCTCAACCTGTGGCTCGGGACCCCATTTGGGGTCGAACAACCATTTCACGGGGGTCGCCAAACAACGCAGTCCTCCATTTTTTCCCCCTTTTCCTTAGCTGTGCTACTCCCTTTTATTCTATTGGCTTTTGAAAGCCAATAAAATAGACTCTCTTGAATAGAGTCTAATTCTATTGGCTTTCAAAAGCCAATAGGAATTGTCCAGGCTGTCTCTGCCCTGCTGAGCCCATTCTGCAAACGGTGCTGCACCAGTTGAGTAGTCCTTGACTTACGACCGGTTGAGTAGTCCTCGACTTACGACCGGTTGAGGGTTGCGGCATTAAAAAGGTTGAAAACCACTGCTCTAATCCTAAACAGTAGCAAAGAGACACCTGGATTCATACAGCCCAGAAGCTAAATTAATTTTTAAACTCTCCACATTTAAACAATCTCATGTTTAAGGTGTTGATCTTGATCTTGATGATCCTCACTATATTTCTTGATACTCTAATTTGAGTGAAATCTTTCCTTGAAATTTCTTATTTGATGACTCCAAGAATGAATTTGTGTTTTTCTCTCTCTTCTATTTCTTGCATGTCCTCTCTAGCTTTGTAAACTTTGTAAATTATCTCCACTTGCCACTTTTCTTAAATTCTCTAAAACATGTCAAACATTGCAAATCTTTCTCCCGTGGTCTTCTTCAGCTACTTCCACCTGCTTCTCTCCCCCAGTTTTATTTTATTTTTTTCCTGCATTTATTTGTTATTGTGAGATGTCCTGATTTCTACATTATTTTTGCAAATCTAACATATATATTTGATGAAGATATTACTGTAAGGTATTGAGAGTATTTTCATAGAATGTTCCATCAAAGTCCCGGGACCTCTTTCTTACTTAGTGATTATCAGCTGAAACATTTTTACTGGATATATAGGGTGCATTTTTTTGTCCAATGTTTATTACTTTATACGATTCTTCTGTTCATCTCCAAATTTTGTTATACATTTTTCTGCTTGACAGACTGCAATATGTGTTCATTGCTTACTTTTAATCTCCATCTGATAATGCTGTCTCATGCCATAGTGGATCTGTTAATCTTCAAGATGCCACAGTGGAATTGCTCCAGCATTGATGGACTCTCTGGAAATAGTTTTGTACTTATCTAGGCTAAGGATGATCAAATATATTTTCTCCTTGATTCTTAGGATGGACTTGGGAAGCTCTTCAGCTCTCGTTGGTTTTCCTTCAGAAGCCAATTTAAAAGTTGGATATTAAGTGCTAATATTCTGGTTATGTTTCAGTTCAGAGGTGTAGCCTATGGATTTTGTACTGATGCTTGCTTGCATGATTATGTGCCATCAAATGTGTGTAAATTCCTAGCAACTACATAGACATCTATGTGGTCTATGAGTATCTATGTACATGTTGTATACTTCTGTTGTTGTTCTTCAATCACTAAATTGTGTCCAACCCTTAGGGACCACATGGACCTCCACTCTCTTCCAGAATATGCCCAAATTTATTTTCATTGTGTCAATTACCATATCCAACCATCTCATCCCATCATCCTCTTCTCCTTTTGCCTTCATTCTTTCCCAACATCAGGGTCTTTTCCAATGATTCCTCTCTTCTTGTTAGGTGGTCAAAGTATTTGAGCTTCAGCTTCAGTCTCTGTCCTTTCAAAGAACAGTTGGGGTTGATTTTCTTTAAGATTGACTGATTTGATCTCTTTCCAGTCCAAGAGGCTCTTAAGAGTCTTCTCCAGCACCACAATTCGAAAGCATCAATTCTTTAGTGCTCAGCCTTCCTTAGGGTCCAGCTCTCACAACCATAAATTACTACAGCCATAAAGTACTACAGTACTATTACTACTGTATAGCTTTGGCTATAACAGGCTGTTGTTCTGTTGTACCTCAAGGCATTATCCAATCTCTAACAAAATAGTGCTTCTAAGACCATGATTTCATTAACATCTGGCAAACCTGACAGTTCATTCTATCTAGCTGGTCCATCACATAGAACATAAGGCTATCTTCAAATTACTGGTTTTAAACCTCTGATTGGCTATGGTAGCAGAGGAATTTTCACTTGGCAGTGGGATGCACTATCATTTTCCTACATCTAGTTCACATACTTCTCTACCTCTCTCAACAGCTTCAGGTCAACTGCTTTGATCTCAGTGGAACAGCTTTATTTCCAAGACTCAGGAACTCATTATCTGAAAATATTCTTTCTACCAAACAGAGGGTCCTGGGGTCTCCAGCATCAGGAAGTACCATTTGCTCTTAGACCTCTTTCTTGGTGTCCATCAGATTTCTGCTTTACCTACCTTTAACTTGATAGTTAAATGAATAGTTAGAGTATACATGTAGTATATATCTGTGTGTTCATGCATGTGGGGAAGCTGCATTTATATTTGAGCAAGCTGGTGTTTTATAATTGATAATGGACAAGCCATTCCATCAACCATCTTGTACCTTTGACATGTTCTCAAAATTCCAAACGTGTCTATCAGCCTGAGACATGGTTGAAGATCACTGGCTTTATTTTTGAAATATGCCAAATAATGCCTACATCACCACTGATTTTATAACTGTTTGGATACTTATTGATTTGGAAAGCTGATGCCCATAATATTAAAAAAGGAGGGGGAGGAGGGTTGGTAGCTTTGGGTAACCATCTGGTTTCATAGCTTAAAATTATGCAATGTATCAAGTGCTTTTATAGAAGCCTGGAATTTGGGTAGTCTGAGCGCCAAAGAATTGAGGCCTTTGAACTATGGTGCTGGAGAAGACTCCTGCAAATCCCTTGGACTGCAAGGCATTCAAACTGGTCAGTCTTAGAAGAGATCAACCCTGACTGCTCTTTAGAAGGCCAGATCCTGAAGTTGAAACTCAAGTACTTTGTCCACCTAATGAGAAGGATGGACACTGGAGAAGAGCCTAATGCTGGGAAAGATTGAGGGCAAGAGAAGAGATGACAGAGAATGAGGTGGCTGGATGGAGTCACTGAAGCAGTAGGCATGAACTTAAATGGACTCCAGAAGATAGTAGAGGACAGGAAGGCCTGGGGGTCGCGATGGGGTCGGACATGACTTCGCAACTAACAACAACTTAGGATCAGATTGGGACCAATATTTCTGTTGCTAAGCAAAGCATTTATTAAATGAGCTGCATCCAATTTTACAGCCTTTTTTTCCTCATGATTATTAAGCAAATCACTACTGTTACTAAGTGCATCACATGGTCATTAAGCAAATGCAGCTTCCCCCATTGGCTTTGCATGTCCGAAGCTGACTGGGAAGGTCACAAACAGTGATCATATGACCCTGGGGCACTGCAACTGTCATAAATACCTGACAGTTGCAAAGCACTCAAATTTTGATCAAGTGACTGTGAAGATGCTGCCATGGGTGGAAGTTCAAGGACACGTTGTAAGTCACTTTTTTCAGTGCTGTGGTAACTTTGAATTAAATAAATGGTTGTAAGTTGAGAACTACCTGAATTATCCTATATGCTTCTCTTAATGCTTGGTTGTATTCCTGCCTAGAACATCTTCCCCATATCAGACAACTAACATGCAAAATGATTTACCATACGGAACCATTTTGATTAAATTTCTCCATGCAACCTAAAAGATTCATAGATTCCTTTTATACCTAGTGATTATGCCCTAAGCAATGATTGAATTATTTTGTTGTGATACAGCTGCATAAGACATCTAAGAATCTCAGTCATTTGCACAAGTCTTAACATTTGTCTTTTTCTCCCAACTGGCATCTTATTTGAGCAATGGGTGTTGATGGGAATAATCCACATGATGAATTGCCTTTACAGTAAAATTTGGGATCATAACATGGGTGAATGTCCTTCCCCGAGACAGGATAAAACTTGATCAATTTTTCTTGATCAATTCAGACTGAAATCATATTCAGATAAAACAAATAGATTTAATCAGTCCTTTACTATAGAGTTCCCCAACCTTTCCAGCCTTGTGGACTGGTGGGGGGGGGGAGGAGGGGAGAAGGGATGTTTCTATGTGACCAGCAGGCACATGCATGCACTCACCTGCTGCTCATGCAAGTAGGGATGCTTGTGCGTACATTTGTTCTCCTGCCACTTTGTTCTCTGGTTCTGAATAGCTCACAGCCCAGTAGTGGGCCACGCCCAAGGGTTAGGGACCCCTGCTTTGCTACATCCTTTGAGAACTATGCAGAAATAACATAATATTTATGAAATTTAGAGCTTTGGACTTTTCACTTCTAACTTCTTCCTCTTCCCAACAGAAAGCGTGCTACTCATAGTGCTGGCAAAAGAAAGGGCAGCCAGAAAGACTTGAGACCTCCAGATCTTTGGATACACCATGAAGAGATGGAAATGAAGAACATTGAAAAGCCATCAGGCTCTGAGCCACCAGGAAGAGTCTCACCAATCAAGAGCTGTCAAGAAATCACTCCAGGCAGCCACAGCCAATCTGAAACTCAGATGGGCAGCAAAAGTGCCCCACAATCTGGTAATATTGCTTCTTACCATATGTAAAATCCCTAATGAATTCCAGTGAAAAAAAATCACATGAGAAGCAATTATGGCACTTCATCCAGAGGTGTGTATCAAGAGGAGATGCTGTAGGCATTGAGTGAAAAACACAACTTAAGCATCAGTTTAGGTCAGGGGTAGGCAGCCTTGGCTCTTTTATGACTCGTGGACTTCAATTCCCAGAATTTCTGAGCCAACTTCTGGGAGTTGAAGTCATAAAAGAGCCAAGGTTGCCTACCCCTGGTTTAGATTCATCTGCCCCATATAGTGGTCAGATGAGAAAAAATATACTCTGTGTGATGTTTTTGATGTCAAGTGTACCAATCCCGTATATCTTTGATGGCAAGTAAGATTTTACTAATCTTGCTAGCAACACATGGCAGAGGGAAAATTCTACAAGACATTGATTCATAAGTGGTTGACAATGACCTATTGATTAGTCTCTAGATATGCTTTGTATTGTGTTTAATGTCTCCGTATTTTGTAAGTTCTTTTGTGTCTCTAGATAGAAAGGTTATAAATCAAGGATTGATAGCTTTTTTCAACCTAAGAACAATTGAGGCTTTCTGCCAACCATGGTTAAAGCCGTAGCCCAACTGGATGGAGTCACTGCAGTGGTGGGATTCAAATATGTGAACAACCAGTTTTCTGTGTGGATGCCACTTCCGGAAGTCCATTCTGGGCCTGGGCAATAAAAAATTAGCTATCGGTTCTGCCAAAGTGGTGCAAACTGTCTGAATCCCACCAATAAGTCACTGCTGATACTGCCAGCACCATGTTTATCTCCCCACCCAACCTCATTAATAAACATCATTCAAGCATGCATACACTCCCTTATTTAAACACACTTATTCACACAACCTCTCATACACTTTTATTATTTTTACTTATTTTTTTATTCAATTTCTATAGCCACCCAACTCAGCCAAGTGACTCTAGGCGGCTTACAATTCTAAAACTATAAAACCATTAAAACAATAAAAAACAAAAAAAAGCATCCAAAGAATAAGTACATACTGTAGTTAACCAACTAGCATTTAAGCCAAGAAAGGGGGCTTAAATCTTTAGCACGTTCTGAGTCCTGAGCCTGGATAGAAAGCCAGGTTTTTAAAGCCTTATGAAAGGCCAACCAGGGTCACTCTAATCTCTGATTAAGATAATATCCGATTATTCTTTAAATTTTACTTGATCACTGCCATCTCAAGGTCCCAAGATACAAATTACTATAAGGTGCATAGTTGTCCTGACCTTGGGCATTGCAGAAATAGGATATTATAGAACAGGGATAGGCAACCTTGGCTCTTTTATGACTCGTGGACTTCAACTCCCAGAATTCCTGAGCCAGCATGGCTGGCTCAGGAATTCTGGGAGTTGAAGTCCACGAGTCATAAAAGAGCCAAGGTTGCCTATCCCTGTTCTATAAGAATCTAGACTAGTCCTGAGATTGGTTCAGATGAAAGACCATTCCAGCCCAACATCTATCACATTGGCCAAACAGATACTGTATATCAGAAGTTCAGAAGCATCACAGGTTGATGATGGCCCTCTTCCTCTGTTCCTCCTAACAACTTTGTGAGTGAAATGTAGGTTTGTGTGTAGCAACATGGATCTCAGTCAGGGTACTTGACGGGCATCTTTTCATGAATTAAGATCTCAAGCTTTGGATTCTGGTTGGATAAGCATTTTTTTTCTTACCTAGGATTACATTTAACTGGATCTCAGATATTTCAGATAACACATTTTTTTTCATAATCATTAGTAAAAAAATAGATCTGAACTCTACAGAGAAGGCAACATGTGTTAACGCAACTCAAAGGCTAAAGCAAAAGTCTTGAATAGTAAACAATTACAAGCAGATTTTCTTCTGCAACGCTAATGCTCATAAAACCAGTAATTGCTATTGCAGATATAAACAGGTTTGTTTATATCAGGGTTTAATATAGATAATAATGTGTATAGCAAATGGGTAATTCCAGATATTTATACTTGTTCATATGTGGCACTAAAGCTTCTCATTTTATGCTATCAGTCTGCCAAATTTTCAACCACAGACTTTGCAATTCTGGCATTAGAGTTTGATTTGAAATTATACTAAAAATATTAAAAATTTGAAATATGATACCCTAAGATTTTATTCCTGAATGTACTGCTTAAGTTATCAGGATTCATTTGTACAACAATTGATCTTGAGAAACTGGAGATTATATATTGTCTTTTAAATGCTCTCCTGAGGGTATCTGCCCATTCAAATAGATTAGCATCAGAACAGAATAGAGCTGGAAGGGACCTTGGAGGTCTTCTAGTCCAACCCCCTGTTCAAGCAGGAGGCCCTATACCATTTCAGATAAGTGAATGTCTTCTTAAAAACCTCCAGTGATAAAGCACCCAGAACTTCTGGAGGCAAGCTGTTCTACTGGTTAATTGTTCTCACTGTTAGAAAGTATCTCCCTTATTCAAGGTTGCTTCTCTCCTGGGTTAGTTTCCATCCATTGTTTCTTGTCCTGCCCTCTTGTGCTTTGGAAAATAAGTTGACCCCCTCCTCTTTGTGGCAGCCTCTCAAATACTGGAATGTACTATCATGCCCCCCCCCAAGTCTTTATTTCCTCTAGACTAGCCAAACCCAATCTTACAATTAAGGTTTGGTATAGTGGGCATGCTCCAGGTCTCTTGCGCCAGGCCTTGTCTTGCTTTAGGTTTAAACCTTCTCAAGTTAGAAATCCTCAAGACTGGGGTAAGCTGCAATTCTACTCGTCTCTCTCTTCTGTTATCCCACGGTCCGTTGGCTGTGGCAAGTTGTCCCGTGGCAAGTTGACCTTGGCAAGTCTGCTGGGAATGAATCAACAGCAGTGAGATAGCCAGGATGAGTCAGCCAAGGCAAGTTGTCCCAATCTTAGCTCTCCATTAATTGATGAAGGTCAAACATTGGGAGAATAATATTGAAACCTTGGGATTAAGAGAATAGGTATACATACAGTCTGGGCTTCTGATTTATTTTTCTTTCTTTCCATTTTGTATTTATTTTTATTATCCACTTTTTATCACTGTTGTTAGCAACTCAGAGTTGTGTGCCACAAGATGGGTGACTTTTTCTTTTCTTCCTAGAATTTTCCCACAAGTGCAGGGTTCTTTTTTTTTTTTTTCAGATCAACTGAGTGTTGATCCATTGGTAGGAACAGGATTTGATTTGAGTTGTCATCTGAGCCTGACATTGCGGGCTGAGAGAGTGGCTGGCTTTCATGGTTAAGGCAGGACTAAAACTCCCAGACTCCCGGTTCCTAGCCTTGAAAAAAAATAAGTAAATAAAATCACACAGAATGTCATATGCTGACTGGACCAAATAATTAGCATATGAAAACATGATAATTCTTGCTGTGGATTTCTTACATGAACTATAAGGAAATCTAGTTGCCAACCATATTTTTTGAAAGATGATCAGCATTTCTGCAAAGTATTTTCCATCGGAGCTACAAGGAGACATGACTAAGCTGTGACACAAATTTATAGAGAGGAATTAGCATTCAAAGTCAATTGTGAGAAAATGAGAAGCAATTCATTTGATTCCAAAGTGGCCCTTAATATTTTCTGTGTTACTATTAAGATGGGATGTTGATTGAGTCCCCCACTTTTTTAAATTGGAAGCTATGACAAAACATGTCCATTTATCTTTCCTCTGACTGGGGAGCAAGGAGCCAAACAGCTTGTATTTGAATTTTATTTACTCATTTAAAGCCTTTATAGAGCCACTCATCTTATGCTCATGCATTTAAGCTTTGCTTTTTTTTCCTCCCTTTTAGTTCCTGACACAGAAGAAGTGGGAAGTAGCATATCCACATTGGAACGTTCTCTTGCAGCTCGACGAGCAACCCGTGCCAAGCTCATGATTCCTATGGACTCACAGCCCAGCAATCCTTGTAAGCCTAACACCTACCCTAATATTCAAACAGGAATTCCATTGTGTTGTCATGTTGTTAGATAACTCTCTTCATTCAGTTGGCTAAATAGACATGTTTACAAGGAAGTCTTCTCCTACGTGATTGCCTCTCCCTGCTTGGATTGTCAATGGAGATCCCACCCTAACTCAGGCTGGTGGGTGATGCACAGCTGATGGATATATAGTATGGAGCCATCGACTGTCTTCATTGTCCATGACAATCACCCACGGACTCCCCTAAGAGGGGATCATGCCTAAAAATGCTACAATGGGAATACCACCCACTGTGGTTGATTAGAGTCAGTTTAGTGTAGTGGTAAAGATGCTGCCCTAGAAACTAGAAGTTTGCGAGCTCTAGTCCCTTCTTAGCCATGAAAGCTGGCTGGATTACTTTGGGTCAATAACCAGGAGACTGAGCTCCAGTCCTACCTTAGGCATGAAAGCTGACTAGATGATTTTGGGCTAATCATCAGGAGACTGTGAGTTCTATTCCCAGCTTAGGCATGAAAGCCAACTGGGTGACCTTGGGCTAGTTACTCTTATTTAGCCTAACACAGAGTTGTTGTGGGAGAAAATAGGAGGACAACGTATTATGTATGTTATGCATGTTAGCCATAGCTAGGCATTTTTGAAGGCTCCCAAATGTTTTTGGCTATCTGAAGTACAGAAAAAAGTAATGTCTTTCTGCCACTTATGTAGGAAAATTAAAAATATCTAGTAGCCTCAACTAGCAAATCTATGTTGGCTTCCCAGTGATGCCTCATCACTGAAGGTATTTTTTAGTCTAATATATAAATTACAATTTTAAATCCTTCCCTGTTTTCCTAGATCAGCTGCCGAAAATAGCTGTCTCGCCTTGCTTAATACTATGGCCACTTAACATTTGCATATATGCAGACATCGTTGCATTGCAAGGTTTTGAAAAAGCAACTGAGCACATAAATCTCAGATGGTATAGGGATTCATTCATTTTTGTCCAGAGCTTATAGTACAAACTGTTCCAATTGGATCAATTCTGAGCAGTGTATGATTTCCCAAATCTATAACTTGGACTCAAAACAGCCAAGATGAATATAAAAGATAAATATAAAATTTTCAAGATGTACAAAAAGGCACAAAACTAAAATATGAAATAATTTTTATAGCAAACCCTAGAGCCATGTAGCTAAATAGTTCCGATATTCCACTCTGCCTTCCTTTCTGGAGATAAATCAATCTCCAAAAGAGAGAAACAAAATCAAGCTTTATTAAAATAAAAAAACTGGAAAGATAGATGAAATAATTGAATGTATAAAAGAATATTGCATAAAATACGTGCAATATTTTCAACAGGCTAAAATATAATGCTGTCTGCTTCTATGTAATTAATGAGCTAGGACAAGATCTCTGCTTTTAACTTAGCTCACAAGAAGTTAATAAAGAGAAAATAGTTTTCCAAAAAATAAATTGGAAAATGGTCTGAAATTATACAGAATGGCCTTACGTCTGTAAATTACATAACGGGAAAAGAAAATGAAGTTTAACCAACATACACAGACTAAAGGAAACTTAACCAGAGTTAGAATAGAATAGAGCTGGAAGGGACCTTGGAGGTCTTCTAGTCCAGCCCCCTGCTCAAGCAGGAGAACCTATACCATCTCAGACAGGTGAATGTCTAGTTGTGGAATGCCCACAACTTCTGACGGCAAGCTGTTCCACTAGTTGATTGTCCTCACTGTCAGGAAGTTTCTCCTTAATTCCAGGCTGCTTCTCTCTTTGATCAGTTTAATTCCTATTTCTTAGACATACAAGTAATTCTTGACTTACAACCATATTTGGGGCCAGAAATTCTGTTGTTAAGCAAGACAGCTATGAAGTGAGTTGTGCCTGATTTTACGTCCTTTGTGCCACCATTGTTAAGTGAACCACTGCAGTTGTTCAATGAATCATAAAGTCATTAAGTGAATTAATGTTCCCCATTGACTTTGCTTGTCAGAAGCTGGCTGAAGTCTCAAACAGCAACTTTAAATCCCTGGGATAGGGCAACCATCATAAATGCCTGCCCATTGCCAAGCACCTGAATTTTGATCATGTGACTTGGGGTTGCTGCGGTGGCCTTAAGTGTGAGGATTAGTTCTAAGTTCGAAGTCACTTTTTTTCAGTGATGTTGTGATTTTGAAAGGTCATTAAATGGATGCTCATAAGTCAAGGACTAGCTGTAATTTGAACTGCAAATAAATTATCCCCCCCTAGTCATTTATCAGAACTATCGGAACAATATTTTCATAGCTCAGGTACAACAGTTTCTTGCTCTATTTTTTTAGACTTTTACCTTGGACTTTTAAGAGAACAAATCTTTCTCTGTATTAAAAAAGGGAGGGGCTGAGACAATCCAAGCATATGTGTTAAAGCCCATCTTCTAGAATAACAGAGTTGGCTTAGAGGTGTTTTAGTCCAACCCAAGCAGGAGACTTTATACCATTTCAGACAAATGGTTGTCCAATCTCTTGTTAAAAATCTCCAGTGTTGGAGCATCCACAACTTCTGGAGGTAAGCTGTTCCACTGACTGCCAGAAAATTTCTCCTTAGTTCCAGGTTGGTTCTCTCCTTGATTAGTTTCCATCCATTGCTTCTTGTCCTGCTTTCAGGTGCTTTGGAGAATAGGTTGACCCCCTCTTCTCTGTAGCAGTCCCTTACACTTCAACAGTATCTGGCATTTGCAAGGCTGCTGAATGCATGTTGACTATTTACAACACAGCCACTAAAAAAAAAAAGCAAAGTAAACATCTTTTGAACAATTTGGAAAAGCTGCTAGTGCTGGATAAAGCACAGAAGAGATTCAGCTTTCCCTTTTAATTGTTATCCGTATTAAGGATCACTTGATTTAAGTCTCTTATCTAAACAATGAAAGAAGGCATTCAGTTTGGTAAGAACAGTTTCATCAGGTATTGATTATTTTAAAAAGAGAACCAAAAGGCCTTCCACTTACCCACAAAGACAAAATTGTTCTAAAATTGGTTGAGACAGTTGGTGATCTACTTACTAACTGTGCAATTGCTTTTTATATACGCCATGGTTGAAACACTTTTTATGTTGCTGGAAGTAAACTGTAAGCAGTTTTTTCCCCCAGTTCTGCTTTGGGATTATTGATGTATACAATAGAAAAACAACATTTTATAGAAACAGAGATATGAAAAAACTTACAGTATGCATTGGGCCAATCTTCTTAATCTGATCCCTTCCAAGATGATATTCCTAGAGGTCATCAGGTTGGGGAAGGTTGACTTACAAGATCATAAGCAGCAGGAATGTAAATATATATTAAAGAGGGAAAGGATACCATGATTATAAGCTGGGCAAGCCAACAATGACAATAATTTAAAGTACATGTCAGCACCAGATCATTAATTGAAGTGTAATTATCAGACTTTAATATTGATATAATTGACCACCAAACAAAGAACAGGCAGAGAATTTCTTCCATAGTTGATGGAATAAGGACAAAAATTCTTTAAAGTGTGAATGATGAATAACACTTGGGAATTTTCTCCATACGTTACTAGCAACCCCCCAAAAATTACTGTACATTAGTTATTTCCCAAAAAAAAGCAAAATCTTCTGGTTGATTGGCTGAGTGTTTGATTGATTTTTCAGTGTATATGCCATTTACTTCCAAATACCTTTGTGGAGATCTTCCCCAAAATGCCTCTGGGAAGCCCCCTACTCCTAAATTGATGGAAAGCAATTCCTGGGTCCCATTTTGTCAACCAATAATAATTGTTTGCTGGCACACTGTCAGGGTAATAGTGAAAAGTCATCATGGTGAAGTGCCCTAGAGCAGAGGTCTCCAACCTTTCTCAGTTGGCAGACCAGAGGGAAAGGGAAGGGGAAGCATTTTACCCCTGTGCGCATGTGCACACACAAATGGGGCTATGAGCATGCACGACACAAATGGGGTGGTGCTAATACCCATGTGACTCTCACTAGCACTGCCCCGTTTTTGTCATGCAGGCACTAGCACTACCCTGTTTTCGCCGCACAGCCCCCCGTTTGCATAGTGGCAGCACGCTAGTGCAAGTGGGGGTGAGCATGCACACATGTGCATTCACTAGCCAGCATGTTCCATGGCCTGCTGGCAAGCAGGCCAAGGCCTGGTAGTGGGCCATGGCCCACAGTTTGGGAACCCTTGCCCTAGAGAGACCATTGGTGTGAGATTTCTCTAATTGATTTTTAAAACCCTAATTGTAAAGACTTCTTTACAATTAGTCATGTACTAGACAACCACTGAGTCATTCTTTTTCCACCATATTATATAGGGTTGGGTCATTTTCTATCCCTTCACAAACCTCAGGAGAAACCCAGGGAAGTCTCCTCCTCCTCCTCCTCCTCCTCCTGCCACTTTGCTGAGGGAGGAAACAAAAGGAGCACCAGACCATGAGGGACACTGCATCCCCATTCTCCTTTCTGGTATGTCCACAAGGGCCCCCTTCCTCCAGGGAGGAAAAGGGCTCACCTTTCAATCACCAGTGCCTCAATTAACCAGTGTAACAGCTTGCCATCAGAACTTGTGGGTGTTCCATCACTGGAGATTTTTAAGAAGAGATTGGTCAGTCACTTCTCTTAAATGATAAAGAGTCTCCTGCTTGAGGAGGGAGTTGGACTAGAAGAACCCCCAAGGTCCCTTCCAGCTCTATTCTGACTGACTGATATGGAAAGAAAGGCCTCCCTATTCCATGCTTCGGCCTTGGATTTCCTGCCAGTTGCACCAACAAACTTTAATTTGCTGTGCAGCTTACAACATGAATTAAAAGTAACAAGCTTGAAATCAATAGCTCACAGTAGAAATTTTGAGTTAAGTGAAAGAAGCAGAAGAAATGCAAGCCAGTAGCATTGTTTTATAAAAATGTACAAAACAACCTTGAAAATGATAGAAACATTCAGCTCCCACCCAAACATCAACAAAAAGACTACCCAGATGTGAAACAAACAACACTCAAAAGGATTCTGATTATCCAAAGGAACAATCTGGAAATCTAATCTGCTTCTCTAGTTTATAATTGTTTTGTAAAAGCAGAACTTGTAATTGGACAATATGAGTTTGTGTCTTCATTCACTTCTGCCACCATAAATCAGCTGGGCTACCACTGAGCCTGCCACAAGAGAAGGCTTTGGCACTCCATGGTTGCAAACATATTTATCTATTTGTCAAGTAGAAGGCCCGGAGCTAGTGTGAAGATAGCTGTCAGTTATTTTAATGATATAATCTTATCCCTTTTCTGTGCATGTACATACATACACTCAGATGCACAAATGCTTTATCAAAAAGAATTAATCATCTTCTTTGTTCCTCAAAATAAGTCTTTATGTACCATAGTTTCAAAGACTATGGTGTGAATATTTATTTGCAGTTCTTGTGCTTCTGCTTTTCAAAAAAGCCTATAACTCTCTGGACAGTTTGTACTTGAATTTAACAGCAGGGAAGAATCCCAGCCTTCTTTCTCTTTTGGAAATGCAGGTGGCAAAAAGAAGTAGATCCATTAGAATACATTCAGACTAGGAGTTCTTAGCAAAGAATGTCACCATGTTTTGTAGTTTTCCCACCTGAGTATAAATGCTGCATATTCACCGATCAGTTCAATAGGTTATGAACCTAATAATGGCAGCCATGTTAGCTGAGGGGAAGGATCTGAGAGGATGTGTCATTAAATTAATTCCACAGCATGAATAAAATATACTTCAAATTTTTAACTCTCATCCATTTGAGCAAGACTGACTTGATTTTAATATGCATCAGGTTTTCTTTTTTGGATTAGTATCTTGGAGGTACAGATTTGGCTTCCGAATTAAGAAGAAAATTCTGCCTCTTTGAAAAAGATGGAAATAAATGTATAATTTTGCTGCTATCAGTAAGTAGAGTAACAATACTAGGTACCACAGGGGTTCTTAAACTTTTTCCCTTCACAACTCATTTTAGTGTAATCTTAATTTACATACCTACCCTAAAAATCCAAACACCAAAATGAACACAAATGAACAACATCAAGAACAAAAAGCAATAGAATGGAAATTTGGGGAAGGTAGATTTATTGTAACCTATTATGTATTACAGTACAATTACAATATATATTGCAATTTATTATAATTGCATCTTTGCACCTCCTCTGGGCTTTGTTTGCACCTCCCCAAAAGAGGTAAATCTCACAGTTTGGGAAACACAGAGATAGTGCTAATAGTTTATTGACTATTACTTCAAAACCTTGCTGGCTCTTGTTGGGGAAGTTAACACTACAAGGGAAATAGAGATAATGACTAGACTTAATTATTCTAATTTTGCCCTACATGGAGCAAGATATATTTACAGTGGTACTTCAATAACTCTTGGGGCCTTGGTTATGGTTATTTACGTGGTCACTAAGAGTTGATAATGAGTTGAAAAAGAATAACAAAATAACAGAGTTGGAAGGGATCTTGGAGATCTTCTAGACCAACCCCTTGCTTAAACAGGAGACCCTGTACCATATCAGACAAATGGTTGTCCAGTCTTCTTAAAAACCTCCAGTGTTGGAGCATTCACAATTTCTGAAGGCAACTATTCCATTGATTAATTATTTTCACTGTCAGGAAATTTCTCCCTAGTTCTAGTTGGAACTAAGTTGGAGTTGATGGCACATAACCAATGATTGGCTATGACCCAATCATTAGAGTCAACAACCAGTTGATTAGATTGTGATGTTTATTTGGACAAATAGAATTATTGTAGTTGTTTTTATTACTATTATTCTTTGAGGCAGAAATGAAAATGCCAGCTTGGATAATAGATGCAACTTGTGCCAAAATATGTATTGAAACAGTTGATCATACTTTAAATGAATACAGCAACATTGCATAGCTTGGTTACAAAAAAAAAAGACATATGGAAGTTGGGAAAATACTGCACTTATGTTAGAAGTGCCAACTTTTGCAGTCAATAAGAATTACTGGAAGCATGAAATCACATAGAAAGTCCTTGGAAATGACATCAAAAGTTATGGGATTTTAAAATTCAGACAGATTGATACCTAGAACATAGCACACTAGAGATTACTGTCATTGGGAAAAACATATTTGTTTGTTGCTGAAGTCATTGCAAGAGACAGTAATGTTGAAGACAAAGAACTGGAAAGGTTACAAAATACAAAGATCTGCAAATAAGGACAGGAAAAATGGAAAGAAATTGCTAGTGGTGCTAATTATTATTGGGATAGTAAGTGCTGTATCACAAAGACTTGGAATGGTTTTGGATTGCTTAAATTAGAAAAAACTTATAATAGCCCAACTACAAACAAAATTACAACTGAGTATTTCATAGTTAAATGCCACTTTCATGATTCTCAAATCCGTGGGGTAGGTCTGAAATTGTGAAGAAAAAAACTGGCCAACATTGACTATGACTCATGATTAGTAAAATTGGAGTTCAATTTATTGTAATCTTAATAAAAAAAACAATTACTCTAGTACTAGCAGATTGAGAATTGTCTTCACTAATATCAACCATGGTGCATACTTTTTGAGTTCTATCTGCCAAGAGTAGATTAAGCATCATAAATTCTAAAAATATTGATGGATTGATTCTCCTTCTTTTCCCACCCCACTGTTCTCACTGAATTTGCTATGGAAAGGAGAAGAGAAATTGCTTTAAATACTCCAAAGCTAAGTGTGATGTTCTTGCACTTTTGTTGTGATGAAGCATCCAATGTATCTTCTCCATGAATCTGTTTCAGTAGCAATGCTAGTGCCCTTACTGAAGGAGACTTCCTCTCTTTTCTGTTTTCCTCTGGAGAAATTCTGGAAAGTTCTCCATTTAATTTCTCACCCCAACAGTCTGATGGAGAACTTTGAATGCCATTTTTGCCTGGTTCCTGGAAATTTCTGTCAGTAGAGCTTTCTACAGGCTTTACCAAGGATTATGAAATGAATATGATTTTCATCTCTGGAACTACCTTCTGCCAAGAATACTATGCTAAATTACAAATTTTCAAAGAAGATCTTTCTCTGTTTCTAGCCCATCCCACCAAATGGAGGTTCCTCTCCTCCAAGTGGTCTTTCATCTTTGGAAGATATTATATTGTAGCAGACTCACAATTTGAAGCTTGCAGATAATAGTTTATCTCTCTATGCGCATATCTGTGTTATCTTTCTTCTCTAATTGTTGTGCCTTTCCAGAGGAGCCATATTTGATATTTTTAACTATAGTTTTACTCAGGCTAAAACTGCCCCAAAACCTGCCTCTGCATTACAGAAGTGGAACTGAATAGATATATTATTCAAAAAAATGTAAACATTTATTCTTAACAATTTTAACAGCAAGACAGTAATAACAATACTCATAAAACACTTATAGTAATCCACAGTAATGGAAGACAAATCACTAAATTGATTTTCCTTTGATTGTGGTGGCAATATTAGTGATGATGCTTTGCATAACTATATCATAGTGACCCTGAAATGGTTATGGATATGAAATAAAAATAAACCTTTTTTTAACCATAATGCCACTTTCAGAGTGGAATAATTAAAATGTACTTCACATCCCAATCTCTTCTCTTTTGAGATGTAACTGAAGGTCCAATTCTGACACACCAACATAGAGAAATAAAGTAAAGCAATGAAGCATGATAGTTCCTTTCCTTTCCCTTTTTTTTTAAAGACAAAAAATAAACTCATACTTTAAATTTATTCCCTTGCAATAGTCATTGATTTGATAGCACTCGGGTATCTTCCAATTACTGGTTGACATTAAATCACACTTTGCTCTTAATTTGGAGGCCATTTTCGACTAAAATAAGCACTAATTGATCAGTTTTTATAATAAATAGCATCAACTTCATTTGTGACTTAATCCATCATGTGTCTCTTTCTTTTAAATAGTTGAGTTTAATTTGATGGCATAATTTAGATTTATTTTCTTCAAGACAGCAGGGAGTGGGAGCTGGAATCTCTAAAATCATAATGTCAAATGGTATGTAGCAAGTCCTCACCCAATGCCAGCCTGACAAAAATAGCGCCTTCTCCCATAAAACCACAATATTTATCAGCTTCCCTGCACATCGCTGATATTACAGCCATTTGTCTGAAATGGTATAGGGTTTCCTGCCTCAACAGGGGGTTGTACTAGATGACCTCCGAGGTCCCTTCCATCATCATCATCATCCAATTTGGTCTAGTGATTAAGGCACCAATGTAGAAAAGACTATGAGTTCTAGTTTATCCTTAGGTATGAAAACCAGGTGGGTGATTTTGGGTCAATCACCAGGAGACTGGGAGTTCTTGTCCTACCTTAGGTATGAAAGCCAGATGAGTGATTTGAGATAGTCACTATTTCTCAGGCACCTCAGCTCACAGGGTTGCTATTGTGGAGAAAATGTGAGGAAGAAAGAGTATTAGGTATGTTCATTGCCTTCTGGAAAAATTTTGAAAACTTTTCCACCCAACTTCTGTGTTTCCATAATGATGTTCAGCACAAGTGATTGGATTCCATTTTTCTCTCCAGCTGTTGTCAGTGCCATCCCAGTGCCAACACTAGAAAGTGCCCAGTATCCAGGAATCCTGCCATCCCCCACCTGTGGATATCCGCACCCTCAGTTTACTCTCCGTCCTGTGCCATTCCCAACACTTACAGTTGAACGGACCTTTGGAACAGGGAGAAGTAAGTAGAGTCTTGCTTGATTCTAACTTCAGTAGGGTGGAGAAATGTAAGACACAGAAACCACAAAGCAATCTGTCTTGAAAATGGATTGAGAAGGAGATGGCGCCTTCCTTGAACCATAGCAACAGGTGGAAGAGGTGGAAAGAACAGCCTTGCTGTTGGAGGTAAGTGCTTATTTTGGAGATGTGAGAAATTAATCATGCTTCCTTCGTTACATCATTTATAATAACAATACAAATGAGTGGTTTGACAGATTCTGCTGATTTCTTACCTTTATTACATAAGAAACCTTTTAAATCTGGAAAGTCCTCATTCTCCATTCCTTCACCAGCATCTCCCATTACTAAGTAAATTGAAACATTCCATGGCATTTCAGCTGTTTGACCAATGACAAAGAAAGCACACTTCCATAAACCTCTACTAAAATCCTTGCATTTCCAGGCTTCCCTAGTTTTCCAGCAATTAGTTAGATACTTCAAATTGTGCAAAATATTTTATGTCAGATTTTGCTTCAGTTGTTTCTAATGTCTATCTTTACCCCCTTAATGGACATGTTAACATAATATGTATCAGACAATAATATGACTTAAAACCTAGAACCATGCTGGTACTTCCTGGTTTGTTCTGCAAACAATGTGGACAAATAATGCAAGCAGGGTATTGGTATAATATGGTTTAATACATTAAACATCCCTCAATTTTTGTTGTATTGCTGCACTTTTGAACGGGTATAGGTGCTATGACAATGGCAATTATTTTCCACCTGCCTGAGTGTTAGGAATTAAGAAAACCTGTTATGGTTCCAGCTAATGAAACACTTCAAAGAACTTCCAGGCATATTTTCCTAAAAGTCATTTATTGTTACAAAATGTCGGCATAGGCATAATGGAGGTATGCCAAGATCTAAATTCTCTTCCCATGAGCAATTAAATTATCAGCATGTTCCCTCCCCCAGATTAGCTGTCCAATTAGTATGAAGGTCAAAGGTTTCCTTCCTCTCTCTTTCCCTTTAACCTCTTCTGCTCTGCATTAACTCTAAAAATACCAGACAGTTCTGCATATTGTCAAAGCAAGAATATACAGTATTTGCAGCGTTGACATAACCATTAAGTACCTATGAAATTAAAAAGGTGCCCTATTAAGTTTAGCTCTTAGCCAAGTAAGGAATGGCAGAGAAATAAGTCATACAAGCCAAAAAAGCCCCCTTGTCTGTGGTAGCCTATATGAATTTGACCATTTTTATTAGCTTACATCCATTCCATAGCACCTTCTCAAGTGATGCATTTAGAGATAATTGAGTTGCCCTTTGCAACCTCTGCTCTATTCCTGTCCTGTATTTACATTACCTAATATAAATGTTGGATCTGGCAAGAGAAGTTCTCTTTGCCTTTTTGGATAAATGTACTTAGTCAAAATTTCACCATGTCTAAAAGTTCTATTCAGTTATCTTTGAAAATCCTCATTTCTCTGATTTATGTGATGCCTAAAAGTGCATATACTGGGAGAGAAATAATAGCAGTAGCACTCAGACTTATATACCTCTTCATAATGCTTTACAGCCCTCTCTAAGTGGCTTACAGAGTCATTCTATTGTCCTCAACGAACTGTATCTTCATTTTACTGACCTCAAAAGGATGGAAGGCTGAATCAACCTTGAGCCAGTCAGGATCGAACTCTTGGCAGTGAGCAGAGTTAGCCTGCAATGCTCCACTCTAACCATTGTGCCACCATGGCTCATAAAAAATAAATGGGCTTTCAAATTGTTAAAGAAAAAGGGGAAAATGACTATATTAAGAGAAATGAATACAAATATTTGTGTGCATCTGTTTGTAATTCTCAAATAGTTGTAGAACCGCAACAAGAATGAATTAATTTAAGATTGGAAATAAGTGAGAAACAGAGAGAAACTAACAACCACATCTTTCTTCTTTGGAAAATCAGACATTTTGTTCTTTCTATACCTGTTGTTTATCAGGGAAAGAGTACTGAAAAGCACATAACCAATTTTTAAAAACCTTAAGAACTGTTCTTCTTTTCTTTTGAAGGAAACACTAGGAAAATTTCAAATGTATTCTTATTTATTCTTGATTGTCTATAGCCTTCACCTTGTTTCCCTTTGCAATCATTCAAAGGAGGGGGAAGTCTTTTTCCTTCCACTTGACAAGCTGTGAACTGGGAATAAGAGAGAATGATTGTTCTCCTGATTAAATTTCTTCAGTTGTTGCCAATAGTACACCTGGTGTCTGGACTCCTTTCCTTGTTAAAGCATGGTGTGTCTCATAAGCAATCAGATGAAAACAATGTATTACCATTGACATGTAACAAACTTATCAAGTAAGTGCTTTTCTTACTTTTTACTTTCCCCATGCTTGGTCAGAGACTACTTCAGGAATCCCAAAAGAGCTCACCCTGAACTTTACACTATATTTTTTTTCCTGACATCTATATATCTATAGATGATAGATAAATAGATAGATAGATAGATAGATAGATAGATAGATAGATAGATAGATAGATAGATAGATAGATAGATAGATAGATAGATAGATAGACAGATATTGATTAGCAAGGCATCAAAGACAGGTGTGTGTGTGTGTGTGTGTGTGTGTGTGTGTGTGTGTGTGTGTGTTCTGCTGTCCTTGATGCCCTGCTAATCTGATGCATATCTTTTTGAAAAGAAACAACATCAATACTTTGGAGTCTTTGTCACATTAGATATTCCAGTGCAAACCAGCAGCAACAATATTTGGGCTTGATTGAAATGTGACACCTGACACATGAAATAAATGTAGAAATTAAAATTTAATTAAAATATAAAATTAAAATGTAGAAAAGGGATATGGAAAAGAGCAACAAAGATGATAAGTGAACTAAACTATGATGAATGATTGAGGGAACTAGGTATGTCTAGTCTAGCAAATAGAAGGATTAAGTATGACATGATAGCAGCATTCTAATATTTGATGGGTTCTCACAAAGAAGAGGGTGTCAACCTCACAAAGAAGAGAGATCCACCCTAGAACTGAGAAGAAATTTCCTGACAATAAGAACAGTTGATCAGTAGAATGGCTCACCTCCAGAAGTTGTGGATGCTCCATCACAGGAGGCTTTCAAAAAGAGACTGAGCAGCCATTTGTCCAGAATATTATAGGGTCTCCTGCTTGAGCAGGTGTTTGGACAAGAAAACCTCCAAGGTTCTTTCTAACCTTCTTATTCTATATTCTATATATTAAATTGCTCATTAAGATAGCTCAGACTAATATAGTAAATGCCATGGTCCAAGGAACCAGTGACTAGATTTAAAAATGGTATAGGGGAGTATGAAACTATGCAGATTACAAACTTGCCAATGAAGAGTTACCAAGGGGAAAGATGTAGTCCTGGTGTCTTTCCAAATTGCAGAAGAAAGTCAGGTCAACCTGGAGAAGCCAATGGCAATGATTTTATAAATTTATTTGCAAAGCAGTGGCACGCTATATGAATGCAGCAGACATTTTTAACGTAAGCTGCTGAGATCCCTATCCCTATCCCTTTGTAGACAAGTACAAACATTGTGTTGCAGTAACTCAGTTCTAAGTAACTCGCCCTGCATTATTACATGACTGAACATTCTATTGATTAGAAAGAGCCACCCTACAAATCCATCATGTGGAATCACATTAGAGAGAGCTTCACCATTGAGTGTGAATGGGCTGTATTTGGATTTCTCTTTGTCTGTTTTTGATAAATGGGGAGGTAGGAGTGGATGATATTAGGGCTGGGGGGGGGGAAATCACCCTCAGGAAAAAAAAAGTCCATTCAACCATCTGCTGCAAGAGAAATAGAAAAAAATAAGAGAGACCGGCAGAGTTCAGATGTTAAACCTGTCTGCCATATTGACCACTGTCAAAAATGGCTGGTAGCAATAGTCCAAAATAATGGCTTTATACTGACTCCTTTTTTTAATGCCTTTTGCTAGGAGGGGAAAAATGTGGCTATTTTGTCAAAGTAATCTCGTTCTATAGATCAGCTTCACAGTGTAAAAGGAGTGTTGTGGAGACATATGAATGGTATTTTCTCAAATATTGAGGATGGATGTGTTTTAATTCCCTGCCCCCTGAATAACGAGACTGTTGTTGCAGCCAATGTAAGGAAAAAATTGCTTTTTTCGATGAACCAGCAAGTAGGGCTGGTTCAAAAGGCTCACACCACATGTAGCTGCAGAAAAAATGGGTGGGAGTCTAAGCCGAAGCTTTCCCCATTCCCCATGCATCCTCCTTGTACATGCCTGAGGCCACCATGGTCCCCAGCCTTTGGCTATTGCCAATTCCATGATCCGAGGTGGTGCAGCAGTTAGGGTGCAGTACTGCAGGCCACTTTAGCTGACTGTGTTCAGCAGGTCAGCAGTTCAAATCTCACCAGCTCAAGGTTGACTCAGCTTTCCATCCTTCCGAGGTAGGTAAAATGAGGACCCAGATTGTTGGGGGCAATGTAAATATATATATACATTGCTTACTGGTGTACACCGCTTAGAGAGTGCTTGCACTTAAAGCGGTATATAAGTCTCATAAATAAATAAATAAATTCCTGTGTCCATTCTGTTTGATCCATTCCTGGTTGAGCAGACAACAAAAAGACAAAAGGTTTAGGCCATGCAAGCAATGGAGGAGAACCAAGTCAGAACATCGCAAGTGACAACAACGGGTGCTGCTCAAGCTGAGAATAGTAAAAGAAAAGCAATTTGCATTACCAGACATCACTGAGAATTATGCTGGAGGTGCAATGTTCTTTATGTCCACCAGACTACGGGTCCACAATCCAGCTTGCCTATCCAATGCATCTCACACCTCTGGTAGCATACAGTCCAGATCTTTTAAATGTTGCCTCCATTCATCCACCTCTGGTAGATTCACCTGTTGTCCACCTTATTGGCCTGCTCATTTTTTGGCTCTACTCCTAACATCTCAAGCAAGCCTAAAAAAAAAACTCTTATTCTTTGCTGCCATCAAATGATGGCTTGG